AAACCCCAGCCTGTAACCCACATCAAAGCATCGTTACGCATGCCAAACAGCCAGACCAATGGGAAATTCGCCAGCGATATGATTCCTGTGCGGTCGGAGACGTAACGCAACAACTGCGCCGACTTTTCAGGCCAGTAGAGATTGCCATCTGTCAGGCGGTAAGAGCAACTGCAGAGCAAAATGTTCAAGGCGACGAAGATGAAGATGGTGATGGACTGCATCCGAGGAGGAATGGTACACCATCCCAAAGGTTGAGAGCAGCGATCGCCAAATGCTGCCGGAACAATGAGGTACCGTTTTAGCCAAGCCTGAGGGTGGCTCAGAATGCTTCGAGACTTTGTCAGAGGTTCTGACTCGGCATGTGGAATTGAATGGTACTTTGGGGTTTGGATGCTTAGGTTGCGGATTAGTGACAGGAGCCGTGTGCTGACTCCAATTGCAACGACGATTATCCAGAAGTAGTACATGTAATAGCTGTCTTGTTAACCAAATATCCACGATATAGAGACATTTGACACTCACCCGTACACAAGGTGTATATCGTATACCCAGTACGCCGCTTCCTATAACCTTGGTCACCACGCGCCTCGAAACAATTATAGGGAGAGAACAGGCATACCATGGTGGTGAAAGCTCTTGCAAAGAATCTCGCATCGGGTATCACGATTTCGTACAAAACAGGAAACTTCACTGCCTCATCCGCCATAAATCGCTTTACGCCCTTCCTATCCTCCGGCTTCCACCGGTCCACCACATCGTGGTAGTTGGGTAATATGGCACCAGCATGTCTGTCACACCAAGAGCTCTGCTCCCTGATCCATCCTTCTCTTTCTTTGCCATCATCGCAGAACTCATCAAAACACAGATACAGCGAGGTAGCACGAAGTCCACTTCGGCATGACCTCACTTTCTTTGACAGCCATGAATCAGTGTCGTTAAAAGTAGCGTAATTCAGTGTTGTATCGCAGGCAATGGGACACCATCTGCCTGAGTATGAAGCCGCCACTACATTATAGGGGACCAGAAGCGAGAAGATGAACAATTGCACGCGCATGGGTGGACTGAAACGGTAGGACGAAGTGTGATGGTGCAAGGTTCGGAGATTAGTGGGGTGAGAAATCTTATCAGATGGCCGGACACGGACTTGGCCCAAAACAGCCAAGGGTTTGCCTGCTGCGGCGTGTGCCCATCACCTCGTGATCACGAGCACAGTCATACTTGAATCGACTTGATCACGTACATCAACGTCGTTGTTGTAACCCCAAACCCACGCTCTACTCACTGCACGCTTTCAGCCCATCTTACCATAGGAAAGCATGGCAGAAGCTGGACCTCAGCCCCCTTTCTTCTCCTTTCCAGCCGAATTACGGCTTGATATTGCAGCATACGTACTCGAGCAATCGTCATCTAGAGGATTTGCTCAGCTCCGGATGGATCTTGATCTCGAGAGACGTCTTGGCCTCTCCGGACGGACCCGCGCGCTCTCTTTATCTCCACATTACAGAGCCGCTTCCAATCTATCTTTGCTGCTTGTGTGTCGCCAATTCCGCAATGACTTCACACGCCTTGCCTTCCAGATGACCCTATTCTCTCTGCGTGTCAATCCAGAGTGGAAAATTGCCGCTCAACCGCACACGCTTTTGCGAAACGTAAGGAAGCTTGCGATTCGGTGCCACAGCAATCTTCTTGCATCCTGGCACGAATACGCGTTCAACACGGACTGTCTGCATCTGGATGAGCTTCATTTTGTAATGCTTGCAGGTGTCTCACCAAACAGACCAGAAATCGTCACACTTTTACAACGTCTAAAATACGTCAAATGTATTAGATTCCTCATACCTGAAGACCCACACTACATGGTCACGATAGGGTGCAATAGCCTCATCGGGGCACTCCTGAAGGAAGATCACTACCAAAGATACGATGCGCCGAACGCGCCGAATTTGGGGTCGACGTGGTGGACATGGAGGTTCGATCCAGTGCTACAACACTTCACAATGGTGGCACAGGATCCGAAACCGGTGATGGATGAAGAGGCTTACATGCTCTTGGTAAAGCCATTAGTAGACGATGTCATGGAGCGAGCGGAGCGTTTACGCGTTAGACGCAATTCAAGATGGTAGAGCCCGAGGAAAGCACACTGTGCGTAACTTATCAAATGGGATTTTTGCCGATGCGGAGAAAAATGTCCCCCAATCCTGGGCTATAATTAGCTGTCAATGAAACAAGTTGTGGTAGACGTTATTAACTGCATCATTGAGCAAATCCCGGAGAACATGGATGTAGCATATGCACTGCTTATATTTTCAGCAGCTATGCTTGAGAGGAGCACAAATACATGGATTGAAGCGTTAGCTAGCTATAGCATCCGAGAATCACCGACCGTGTTGTGGATGTACTATTCATGCATCTGAGAAAACGGATACTAACCCTCCAATCCCGGCCTTGACGGCGGCGTATGCAAAGCTAGCCCGAAATATCACAAGACTAAGAGCATTCGATGTTCCAAAACCGGACTTGAATGTCATATAGAGAACAAGGTCTCCGTCTTAGATTAGCGTCTAAACCGCTATATACGTGCATGACCTCATTTATCAACAATAGCCTCCGTAGCTTTTAATGCTCCGACCACCGTAAAACATATCATTGGTGTTATAGCATAGCTGATCTGATATCTTGTAAGTCCAAAAACTCCATTTTCACTATCATGACAGCTTATACGTACAGTCAAAAACTTCGCAATAGTCATCTTCATCGAGTCCGGAGCGCCAGTTACGTCTGTGAGCGCCGCGAGGATCATCGCTGGCGGGCCAGTCGGCATCAACATCATGGAGAACCAGAGCATGGGATCGCTGCTGAGGAAACTCGTTTTTGCAGCAAGCGCCCAGATTAGCGGAATACTGATTCTGCATTATTTCGTCAGCACAAGTGTAGGGTAGAGCTGGTAAGGAGCGCGCGCTTACAGAGGCCAAAGAATAAATCTGAAAAAGGTAACGAGCGCTAAACTCCCTTTATGCACTTCTCCGCTGTCCTCACCCCGCTTCATGCGAAGCATGCTCTGGCTGAGCTTCACGCCTACGACAATAATCTGCGTGGACGCAAAGAGGTTGCCGACATTCTTGATCGATGTAGTCAACCACGCATTAACGTAGCCGCCTTCATTGCTTTGATTGAAAAACAGTCTATGAAGAGCAGGTACCAGGCCTATAATGGCGCCGAAGATAGCACCCAGAATCGGAGCGTTAGCGAACTGCCACGCGACATCGAGAGTCTCCTGAGCCCAAGGTGGGAGGTCGTTATACCAGTTCCGCGTCTTGAGGTAGCTCTTTTTCTCCACGCGATTTGTTGGATGGACGATTCGCTGCGGGAGCAGGGATGTGTGCTCGTTGATAACACCATCTGGTCCTCTTTCGATATCACCGTTTTCGCCATCTTCTTCCCCTTCATCTTGCTCCTCCTCCTCTACTTCTCTATCTTCCTTATCATCAGGAGCGTCCTCATCACCAGGTTTCAGCAGCCTTGGTCCCAGCGCAAACGTGAGCGAATTGCTGACCATAGCGTTGATCAAGAAATACGATTCCGCGCGGTCCATGGCATCAGAGCCAGATTCTCCATCCATAAGTATAGCATCGAGGATTTGAGTTTGCTGCAGCGATTGAATGAGGAGGAGCGGAAGACTCGTGGTGTTGTTGAAGGCAATTGCCGGTGTTACCCAGGCGGGGAGCTTGAATATGCGAGTGAGGGCGCGGCCTACAAGGACGGAAAGGAGGGTGTAGGATATTGACCATACTATAGCACGAAAATCAGCAATTTTTCCTTTGACCGTCCTAAGTCTATAAAAGGGAAGAAAGGGTATAATTACTTAAGACTGGAATATATCGCACCCCCGTATCCTTATGCAAGTTCGAGCCAATCTTATAAATCAGCAGCGCGGGCAAGAACATGCGCACGCACAGCTTCGAAACCTCCTTCGCTGCCCTCACCGAAAGCAGATTACATTGCGCTGCGACAACACCAAACGCAATCGTTAATAAAACCGAGAAAGAAGCTTGTATCGCGCCCACAAACGGGACAATAAGCTCGGAAGCGTCGACGTCCATGATCAGTCGACCCCTTCACACCCTTGGACCAACTGGTTACCAGAACGTTGGAATTACACCTCTCAACGGTGGATGGATGTATAAGTGGAGCGGTTATTCATCCGGTACAGGAGAAAAACTGCAGATCAGGCACAGCACTTCTTAAAGGAATTGGAGATTTAGGTGCACGCGACACAAAGCCGCGTCGTTGGAGCTTTAGACTGGAAGTATGACGTCGCGGAGACGGGACGCGATCGAAACGCCAACACCACCAATCCCACGCCGCGGCGCTATCAGCGGCCAGAACGTGTTGTTCTTTCAACATTTCCATGGCAGGGGTACTGGGCGCCGAGGGACTCATCTTACCTTGCATGTTGGCGCTGTGTAGGGGTATCTTTCGTGGCAATTGGCTTTGGGAGGATTGGTTTTGGGAGGTGGATGAAGGGGGGGAGTGAGGGCAGAGTCCGCGGAGTAATAATTACACGGTCGCTGCTCAAGTTCATTGCGCTGAGAATTTATTAAACCTCCAATTCGCGTCTACCATGTGGGGCGTATCTTGCAAATAACCAAAATTTCTCTATAGCGATTGAAAAGCTCATTAGTCTAAGGTTTCGCTGAATTTACGGCTTTGGTTGGGGCTTTCTTCATGGTGGTATGAATACGGCCATTGAAACCTCTGGAGGCATCACAGGATTAGCCTGTAATGAAGTACCATAGCTAGCTTTAAGTAATTTGGCATAATCTAGTTGTACATGATCCAGGTAATACAGGCCCTTGTACATGTGAGAATCATGCGGAGGCGCAAGGCGTGGGGCTCACGTGACTATCCCATCCGACATGCTCTAAAAGAAAAATCTTCGTCCCAAACCCACGGCAACACCACGCCCTCCCAACACCCAAACACGACAAAAAAGACGTTTAAGCCCGATGCGGGGGTTGAACCCGCAACCTTGAGATTGCAGAGAGATCAATCGCTCTTACAGATCGTGTGAACTGCTAAGAGTCTCACGCTCTACCGATTGAGCTAACCAGGCTGTTTATTGATTGGCTGCTTTTATGGAGGCTTTTTGGATTAGACATACTATATACAGTAGAATCAAATTTTTCATTAGCGCGAGGCTACTTGTGGAATGAACAGAGACTGTGGGCACGTCACTTGGGGTGACGGTCTTTGCTTTAAGCGCTTAAGAATTGCAGAAACTATCGCAGCACCAGGTGATAAGATCAGTATATGCCAAAGATTACGTGGCAACTCATAGTTCAGGGAGCTTTGCTTTGTTATACAAAGGGATGGTCCCAAAAGGTGAAGGATGCCAGGTTGCTTTGCTATAGTCAGTGGCCAGCTACCCTTAGTGCGCATTTTTGGTACATCTTATACGCAGCCAGCTGTAGTAGCCGATCGTTGATCTCCGGCTTCTTTGACGTCTCCTTCCCGTTCAAGGCGCACTCTGTTCTATCTGGTCTAATAGGTGGCCCTTGTTCAGGGACATTGCAGTGTGGCCAATGTGTCGTGCCCTGTCATATGATAAACATTTTCGCCTACAGTTCAATGTCTTCTCCTGACTCAAGTCTGGTGGTGGTAAATCAGATTGACGTGGACGCTTTCATTTTTATGAATCATGGCACACCATGCTTTCACATGTACAAAGCCAGCACCCTCAAGCAAGGGTGTACCGGATCAAAACGATATCTGCAACGAAATGGTAGACTCGATGATTTCGCTTAGTATACTTTTTAAAATAATTCCCAACAAGAAAGACTGCTACATATCATGAGAAATGGAATCACATCTCGAATCAGCTCAAGATCTCGTGGCTATCCTGCATGACTCCACCCGCGTCTCATCACAGACTTACACCTCACCCGAACTCTACAAGAAGGCCCGATAAGCAGGTGCTCGCCTCGGCCGCTGCCTTGGCACTTAGCTACTGGTAGGTATCCAGGCGCTTGCTGTTAGAGTAGTTAGGCCTAGTAGGCCGCTAGTGGCAGGCGTCCGCAGAGGCTACTAGATATCAAGTATGTAGATTTAAATGGCTAAGAGTAATTTTGCAGCAGTGAGCAAACGCCATGAATAGAAGTGTGGAGAAACGAGGAGTCCAGGCCATTACTTACGCGTGGAGTGCCGAAGATACTCCACACAGTTAGGTTTGTGGAGAGCATGTCTTCCCCGCATTTCCCCTCGGCCGGACACCCATGTCAAAACCATCGCGCTCCCCCACCTTTCGTACGAACTTCCGATGGAATCGTCAAATATACCACAAAGGCCGCGTAAACGGCGTGCCATCAATGCTTGTGCCATATGCCGAACCTCCAAGGTACGATGTGACGGAGGCCACCCATGTCAGCGTTGTGAAAGAAATAGCACAACTTGTCTATACCACGATGCAGTAAAAGACGAGAACACATTGCGCATTGAGAAGCTTGAGGAAGAGTTAGCTACGTTGAGAAGTGAACTGGACCATGTGCTCAAGAGACGCAATACCACTCTTGTCGACCAAAAGCATATCTCTATGATGCCTCACCGTGTGCACGGTCGCTACACTGCCTCTACTGCAGTGGATGCAGGGCTATTTACCTGGAATCAAGCAACGCTATGGTTTAAGAGGTACGGGTTGCTCTATCTCCAGCTTCCATGCACTTGCTAAACGTCTGATAGCTTCTTCTCCGGTAGTGTAAGACAGAGGTTCATGAAGGAAGAGGTGTCACTGACCAGAAAAGCAATATCTAGTACCTATATTTTGCGAGAAACACGATACTATTGCGTCCGTATCATCACGCAGTGCTATCTTGTTCGACGTTATAGTTAGCATCGGTTGTCGGGCAGAAGAAGGCTTCAACTCAGGAACATATCGCCAGCTACAGTCCCGAGCACGAGACCACGTCACAAATCTGCTTATAGAGACAAACGCTCCGTCTCTTGAGGATGTCCAAGCAATGACCCTGATGGCTGCATATTCAGAGAATGGATTTGTACTTATTGCTCTCGCATTGAGGTTCGCCATACAGCTGGGTTTGCCTCAGGCTATTGATGAGCTGATTTCGCGTGGACATGCTAGAACTGGAGCTGTTGAAGAGGAAGAGAAAGACTTCTATCGTCTTACCAGAATCTGGCATGGCATTTGCAACCTCGAGTTATTGTGCGTTAAATGGGCGAAAATTGGGTATGGAGGCTAATGGTTACCAGCTTTTCACTCGATGGCGGCAAGCTTCCCAGACTTACTTTCCAGACATCGTCGCGCAAAATCAGAAGCCTCGTCAACCACCCTGAGCGCACTTCGGTGGACGTCCGGTTGCTTTCCCAGATGGAGCTCAACTTCATCCGTGCCGAAGCATACAATAAGATTGTAGCGCAAGTCGGCGACCCACTGCTCCCGCAGGACGAGTCCACACTTCGAAGAACGGTTGAAGATACAACGGTGGAATTATCGCTATGGTTGGAAGAGTGGACTGTTATCGTTTCCACTGAGCCAACACCTCAACAGCAATTACTTGCCCTGCAAAATCTTCACATTCAGCGGGAATGGGCTATGATGACTCTTTATCTCAAGGCCATCGCCACATCTGGTATAGAAAATATCGCTTTCATGACCAACTTCCAAAAAGAATTTGTATGTCGAGCAAAGGAAGCGGCAGCTCGGCATTTACACCACGTGCTCGAGGATTCGTCGACACCATTTTCTTCACCTGCACTAAGCTCTGAACATACCAGATCCACATATCTTAGTACCTTCAAGTGGACATTAGACTACGTCTGGGCCAAATGCGCGTTCTCAATCCTTCTCGTTCTGAAGCTCGCCATCTTACTTCGCGATCCTGTACCCTCCGTTATGCTCCTCCTCCGAGACGCCCATAGAGTTCTCGAAGAGCTTAAGACAGTCACAGTCGGTCACATTGCGTATTTCCAGATTCTGCAAACTAGCATCGAGAAATGCGAGGCTACTCTGCGAGAGTACGTTACGCAGCAGAATGCCGGTGCGGATCTGGATGCCACCTCGAACAGCAATGGAGTCGCCGAGGATGAATTCCAAGGATATGTGCCTAGCGAGTTCGTTTTTGAGTGGGATTTCCCTGGGTTGAATCTTAAGCATATGCCACTTGGGTGGCAGGACTTGTTCATTAACATAGACAACATCTTTTGAAGGTAAAATTGAGCGAATTAGGCTGATGTATACTATGTATTACACAATTTTGTAGCTGGTCAAAAGAAAAATGCCAGTAAGTTACATTACGAGAAGGAGGTACAATTGGGGCAATACGTCATGATGTTTAATGAAGTTCCTATGTACAAGAGATTCCTATGTAGATTTTTCATCCTCCGCTACCATGTATTTATCTCAATAGACGTAGATGAAATCCTCGTTCTTCATGTCAGTGACATCATCAAACGCCTTGTCTCCAACGCCACTTGCGAGTGCATCTTCAATTTCCTCTGCGTCTGTGTGCTTGCTGCTCCCCATACTCGTGTCAACGACAATTGCCGATTTGCCCATGCTCTCGCGGGTGGCGGCATGCTTCCGGTTGAGGATCTTGATCCAACACACTGCCAACACCACCAATAGAACGATTGCAATAAACAAAGCAAGGTTTGCGCGTAAGCCCTTATAGTAATGGGGCTTCTCAGAAGGCTTGAAGAGATGCGGTCCAATGATGTTGCCCGCACTCGCACCAACGAACAGAATGCTAGTTGTGACCTTTCTCTTTGTGTCGCCTCCAGTGTTTTGTCCGGACCAGGAGTATATGAGCGGCGAGATTCCAGGGTAGAAGGACGTCATGTAGTAACCAAAGAGCAACACACCACGATGTTCCTTGCCACGTCCAACCACCATCAGGATGATGATACCGATGATTGGTGGGATGCAAAGAAGAATGAGCACTGGCGACTTCTTTTTCAACCACGTGGCTAGCCAAGCGCCTCCTATCGTGGCAACGATCTGGACTGCACCAAAAGGCATATTGAACAGGATTGTCGCAAACTTACCGAACCCGAAACTCTGGATGATGAGGGGGCCAAAAGTAGTGATGCCACCACTAGGAATACTGACGGCTGTCAGCATTGAGAACCAAAGCCATGTCTTTGGGTCCATGAAGGCCTCGAAGACATGATCCCACTTCCATACGCGAGATGCAACACCCATCTGGTTCATTCTCAATCTTTCCACAGCGATCAATTTCTCGTGTTCGTTGAGAAACTTGGCCTCCATCGGACTGTCGGGCATGAATATGTACACGAACACCGACACGATTACTGTGAGCAGACCACAGAAGAGGAAAATGATCTGGTATGAATGGAGTCGATCGGAGTTTATGTGGCCGAGGCCATACGATAAGAGACTGCCGAGGATGTTGACAATGCCTAGCATAGCGTACCAGGCTGCATTGCGGTTTGTCTGTTCGCCACGTTTGTACCACATTTGAACCACAGCGATGAAAGCAGGAGCTGATTTTTGTTAGTAGATGATTAGACCACATTCATGTTGACCACTTACCAACAGCAGCCTCAAATGCACCCAGCAGGAATCGTGTCGCCATGAGACCAGCAAAATTCTTTGCTCCAGCCATACCACATAGAATACACCCCCAGGTGAAAACCATGACTCCCATGAATTTTCCGATGCGAAGTTTGACCAGCAGCACGGCTACGATAGGCTGCATTACTAGCTGCGCAATATATACGATGCTTCCAAGCCAGGAGTATTGTTGCGAATTTGGATCGAGACCCGCATCTTGGATAAGACCAAAGACCGAGGCATATGAAAGCGTGGTCTTGTCCAAGCTCTGTAGGAAGTAGACAGAAAGGAGGATCGGAAGGATGACAAGATCGATCTTTCGCAAGACCGCTTTGTTCTCTGCGGATGTGACCACGATCCGTTCATTGGACGCCAGGAGTTCAGCAGCCTTGTCTTTTCCGCGAGTCTCTTGAGTGGGTTTGATCGTTTCGGAGGTTTCAATGTTAGCCTTGCTAACATCCGTAGCAGGCGGAGCTGACTCCGATTTGGACATCTTGAAAGGCAAGAAGATAGACCTATGAAGGAGA